ATTTATCACACATACTAGTTTTCTGCATGAAAAAAACAAAATTCTGCGCAAATTTTCCAAAAACAAAATTCTGCGCAAATTTTCCAAAAACAAAATTTTGCGCAAATTTTCCAAAAACAAAATTTTGCGCAAATTTTCCAAAAACAAAATTCTGCAATTTTTTTCGAATGATGATTAAATCAATTTTCTTGATGAATCTATCCACTTTTGATTGTTTTAAAGTTTACAATCCCATACTGAAAGCTGAAGCAGAAATCAACAACCAACTTATTAGAAAGAATTGCTGATCAAAAACGTACTGAAACGTGATGGAATGGGGATGGAATTTCATGATAAAATCATAATGGTACTCATTTAGGAAAATCAGTGATTCTGCAAAATGCTGAAATTTTGATGTAATCTGTCCTGCCCCGGAATTACAGAAATAAAAGTATCTAATGCACAGTATCTTTTCACAACAAGTGTTTGATTGTTTAAACACCCGACTGGCCCTTATTTCATTGTTTTCCTTGAGTGTTTTATCATCTTTGGACACCCATGCTTTAATTAGTGAATGCATGACTGCACATATCATGGACTTTCTCTAAATAATTTAATCACCAATGAGTAGAGATCTACTGATATGCAAGTGTTTAAACAGAATTAAATATATTTTTAAATAAAATATTCCTGATATTTTTTATTAGAAAACATACTGATCCCACCTTGTCAAAACATTCCATTACTTTTGTTCATAAGTTAATTAATATGTTTGTGTAAACCAAAGCTTATAATTGAAAGATTAACTTTTAAAACAATAAAATGACAAAGTGATTAAGTAATGAGCTCATTGCAATCAAGTGTTAAACATACAGATTAAAGCCGCCTGATTGGCTAAATGTTTGAGCAAGATTAATATTATAAAACAATACACAATATGACAAGTGAGTAGGACCCTGAATCTGCATGTAGATATAATCTTACATTGAGCGGTTCTAAATCCTCAACCACAACTCACTATAAATACCCCATCATATCAAGAGTTGCTCATATCACCAACACAGCTCAACATGACAACACTAGCCAGCAACAGCATCTACTCTCAGCTCTATCCATCAGCAGACACCATCAAGGCAGCCCTCTTGGACATCAAGGCTCGCTACGGGAAGACAAGCTCACAGATTATATGTCTCAATGATGAGATCAACCAGCTAGAAGCCCGTCAAGTTAGAGCTGTGAGAGATGGAAAGTTGGAGTTTGCCTACAGTCTTCAAGTGCGTGTGTCTTGCTTGGAGGAGACAAGAGATATGTACCTGAAGTATGCCAAGATGATGGTCTATGTCTCCAAACAACATCTTGATCTGCTCCGTGAACTCTACATGTAAACTGCGATCTAACTTCAACCCAACAGCCCTTTTCAGGGCTAACCCTTACTTAAAAAAGAGAAATTAAATTGTGAATGTTGTTCTTGGTGTTTTGATGAATGTGATTCTGCACAGTGTTAGTGACTGCATGTATTCATCTAATTTACATGTAATGGTCATTATGGACCCATTATTAATATAAGAATACAAAAACAAGTTCTGCTTTCACACATATTTATGCCTTCCCCTCCAAGATTTCGGCCTTTATTATCTGCATTTAGTGTGTGTTTGATATTCATTCCCATTTAATTGTTTCCAATTCGAAAACACAATTATCATAAGATTCAAAGAATGGGTCTCAAAAAAATAATAAAATACTCCATAGAAACAATGAAACATTGACCAGACAGGTGTTTGAACAATCAAACACTTGTTACAAAAACATTATGTTGTTACGATATCATTATCATGTTGATGTAGAGAATACTTATAACATAATTTATCACACATCCTAGTTTTCTGCATCAAAAAAACAAAATTCTGCAATTTTTTGCAAATGATGATTAAATCAATTTTCTTGATGAATCTATCAACTTTTGATTGTTTAAAGTTTACGATCCCATACTGAAACTTGAAGCAGAAATCAACAACCAATTTATTGGAAAGAACTGCCGATCACAAACGAACTGAAACGTGATGGAATGGGGATGGAATTTCATGATAAAATCATAATGGTAGGAAAGTCAGTGATTCTGCAAAATGCTGAATTTTTTATGTCCCACCCCAGAATTACAGAAAACCAAGTATCTATGCACGATGTTTTCACAATAAGTGATTGATTGTTTAAACACCTGACTGGCCCTTATTTCATTGTTTTTCTTGAGTGTTTTATCATCTTTGGACACCCATGCTTTGATTAGTGAATGTATGACTGCACATAGACTTTCTCTAAATAATTTAATCACCAATGAGTAGAGATCTACTGATATGCAAGTGTTTAAACAGAATTAAATATATTTTCAAATAAAATATTCCAGATATTTTTTATTAGAAAACATATTGATCCCACCTTTTTAAATCATCCATTACTTTTGTTCATAAGTTAATTAATATGTTTTTGTAAACCAAAGCTTATAATTCAAAGATTAACTTTTAAAACAATAAAATAACAAAGTGATTAAGTAATGACAGGCCCGTAAGACACTTTTCTCCAAGGGGGGTGCGGTTTTTAGCTTACTAAAGAGAATATAAAATTGTCAATTTTTTGGCCGCGAAAATCAAATCGTGTAAGTCAGAGGGGGGGGGGGGGGGGGGGGGGGAGGGGGGCTCAGTTACTCCCTATATTGGTTTGGAATTAACAAATGCAACTTCCAAGAGTTCCAATTGTTTTGTGGGGGGTGTGAGGAGTGGTCCACTCTCCCTAGAAAATTTTACAGTTTTGAGATGCTATTTGGTGCTTTCTGGGCACTTTCAAAGTGTATGTTTCCAAGTAGTACGCCACCACCATGGGAATAAGAGTTGAGTGAATAAAAAACCGAGCATTCAGGGGGGTCTCCCCCAGGAAAATTTTGAAATTTGGTTGTATTTGGAGCGAATTTGCAACCATCTGGTACGCCTGTGCGTTATGAGTCAATAAGAAAAATGTGTATTTTTTCAAATTCTTTTGGGGGTGTCAAAGTGGATGAGAGGGTGAAGTGGGATGTGGTGCCAGTAGGGGAGCAAGGGGTTGTCCCCCAGAAACATTGACCATATCAAGGTGCTATTTGATGATGTCTGGGCACTTAAAAATGTCTGAGACAATACATGAAATTCAGAATATTTTCTTTTGTTTTGTGGGTGAGGGGTGGCTAACTCTCCTAGAAAATTTTACAATTTAAAGATGATATTTGGTGCTTCTGGGCACTTTTAAAGTGTATTAGTCAGTAAAAACATTGAAAAATAATCACAATTTTTTTCAAGTTTTGGGGGTGTCAAGGGGGGGGGGGGGGTGCCAGAGGGGGAGGTGGGGCTGGGGTGCCAGAGGGGGAGCAAGTGTTTGTCCCCGATATCAAAATTTACAATATCAAGGTGCTATTCGATGAAGTTTGGGCACTTTAAAAGTGTCTGTGCCTAAAAGTGCCTATTTCCCAAGAAACTTTTACAATTTTAAGATGCTATTTGGTGCTTTCTGGGCACTTTAGTCAATAAAGTCAATAAAAAAAATTTGAAATTTTTTTTGGGGGGGGGGCTGCCAGAGGGGGAGGTGGAGTGGGGATGCCAGAGGGCGAGTAAGTGTTAGTCTTCCAGAATCATTAACTTTATCAAGGATGATGATGATGTCTGGGCAATTTAAAAGTGTCTGAAACAGTACATAAAACAAATTCAGAACTTTTCCATTGTTTTGTTTGGGGTGTGAGGGGTGGCCTACTCCCCCTAGAAAATTTTACAATTTTACAACGCTATCTGGTGCTTTCTGGGCACTTTCAAAGTGTATGAGTCAATTAAAGAATTTGAGAAAATCACAATTTTTTTTTGGGGGGGGGGTCAAGGGGGGGGGCGCCAGAGGGGGGGGGGGGGGTCTATGAAAGTGCAAGATACAAGAGGGGGAGCAAGTCCCCCAAAAACACTAACTATATCAAGGAGCTATTTTATGATGTCTGGGCACTTTAAAAGTGTCTGAGACAAAACACTAAAATAAATTAAGAACTTTTCCATTGTTTTGTGGGGGGTGTGAGGGGTGGCCAATACCCCTAGAAAATTTTACAATTTTAAGATGCTATTTGGTGCTTTCTGGGTACTTTCAAAGTGTATGAGTCAATGAAAAAAAAATTACAAAAAAAATATTTTTAAAAAAAATTTTTTCAATTTTTTTTTCAAATTTATTTTGGGGGGTGACAAAGGGGGGTGCGGTCGCACCCATCGCACCCCCCCATCTGACGGCCCTGAATGAGCTCATTGCAATTAGGTGTTAAACATACAGATTATAACCGCCTCATTGGCTAGATGTATGAGCAAGATTAATATTATAAAATAATACACAATATGACAAGTGAGTAGGACCCTGGATCTGCATGTAGATATAATCTGACATTTGAGCAGTTCTAAATCCTCAACTACAACTCACTATAAATACCCCATCATATCAAGAGTTGCTCATATCACCAACACAGCTCAATATGACAACACTAGCCAACAACAGCATTTACTCGCAGCTCTACCCATCAACAGATACCATCAAGGCAGCCCTCTTGGACATCAAGACTCGCTACGGGAAGACAAGCTCACAGATTATATGCCTCAATGATGAGATCAACCAGCTAGAAGCCCGTCAAGTTGGAGCTGTGAGAGATGGAAAGTTAGAGTTTGCCTACAGTCTTCAAGTGCGTGTGTCTTGCTTGGAGGAGACCAGAGATATGTACCTAAAGTATGCCAAGATGATGGTCTATGTCTCCAAACAACATCTTGATCTGCTCCGTGAACTATACATCTAATCTAGAGTCTATCATACTTGAAACTCAACAGCCCTTTTCAGGGCTAACCCTTACTTACAAAAGAGAAATTGAGCTGTTATGAATAGAGTGCAATTGCTTGGTGTTAATTCATTCTTGAGTTTTTATTTCGAGGGTTTCATGTGAGCTCAAGGGATATCTCATATCCAGAGGTAAAAATTCAACTTACGACTCCATTCATCATTTTTCTTAGTGTTAGCATAGACCTGCCATTCCACAAGAGCTCCACGGGGTAGCGCGGGAACCACCACTATCTCCAACAGACCCTCAGTAGTTGGAGCTTCCCGCCATTTAGGACTGATCTGAAATTGTATTGAATTAAAAAAAAATAGTAAGTACCATATAGGTAGGGTGTATTATATAACATAATGCCCCCTCTAATAATACTGTATTTAATTTCTACAAAATATTTTCAACGGATTAAAACTATGACTGATTGTTCATATATGTAAGTGTAGTCTGAATATAAATACTTTCTCATGTATGGATGAATATAAGTTGTTTAATGGAGAAACAAAATTAAGACTCCGAGATGAGTTGAGAATATCAATATATACATTATTTGAGCCAGGCCACAGGAAAAGGGGTCTTATCACAGATTATACAATATTCTGATATTTTGTTTATCTTAGAAAGCACAAAGAGACCTTTCAAATGAGCCATGGCTTGTCTTACCAATTTTTCCTTGCATATATAGACCAAAAAGTCGGATTTGAATTTAGCACATTTTTAATCTTGGGCATATTTTTTGCTATGTAGGACAATTTTCATTTTTGTGATAAGACCAGTTTTCCTATGGCCAGGCTCATTTTTTGTTTACATTTCATGTCAATTTGCTTCAAATTCCAAAAGTTCAATTCAACAGTTCTGAATTTTATGATCACAATAATTCTCAACAATTGTGCATGATCTTTGATTTATTGAACAACCTCAATATTCCATCAGATATCTCAACCTTTTTTTCAGGTAATAATTTTAAAAAAAAGAAGGAGTTTAAGAGAAACACTGGCATGGTTTATGGAATTTGCTTTCAACATTTTACACTCTTGATTTTTTGCCGCTACTTTAGGATCATTTATGTACAAATGAAAACAGACCTGAAATGCTTCTAGGGCATCTTTCCATTCTTTCTGAACATAGCGTACATATTCACTGTCAGTAACATAGCACACAGCAGAAACAATACTGGTGAGAATGCAGTGAGGGTCCATGGCTTGTAGCACCATGGCAACGTGACGTAGTGACAACTTTGTCTGAGGTATAATCCCGCCTTCCACGAGTTGTAGAGTTGCGGGACATAGCGCAATCTGACCAGCAACATACACAAAGTCACCAAACTGGAAACAATGACATATGGACAGTTATCTTCTATGCTTTGGACAGTTGTTGGTGACTGATAAATAAATGTGGGAATCACTTTAAAACATTAATATATAATATCTAAGATGTAATGTCTCATTATTTTTTTGAAAGTGTTATTTGGCTTAGGGGATTAGATCATAATTCCACTCAAAATCCATTCGTTTCACGCCGAGGGGAAATATAATTCTCTTTTGTTTAATTTTGCATTTTTCATATTTTAACCAAAAACCTCAGGTAATTTTTATCTAAGGTACTGACTACTTTTTGAAAAAAATATGTACAAAAGAACAGAGCCTATTTTAATTTTACGTTACTACTTCAAAAACTTGAAGATGGCCAACAACAACAATTGACATGTACATACTTGTACATTAGGATCTATAGATGGCTTACTTGCACAGCCTGACTGTAAGGTCCAATATTTGCTGGAGCAATCTAAGTACTTTTTGAAAAAAATATGTACAGAAGTACATTAGGATGCATGGATTTCTTACTTGCACAGCCTGACTGTAAGGTCCAATATTTGCTGGTGCCCAATGAGAGAGGCTCTGAACATGCATGGTGTTACAATGTGGTGAGGACTCTCTCTCAACATGTCCTAAACAGTCTATCTGAATAAGTACATTCTCAGGGAGATCTGCCTGCACACAGACCCTGAAGAACAGATTCACAATATAAAGGGGTATTTTCAATATGTTTCCACAAATCACCAACTGGGCAAGACCCAGATTTTGCCAAGGTGGTTCACTTTTCAAAAAATTTCAAATTTCAGGATGGGTTCATATTTGACGACTTTGACCCAAAATCACTTGAAAAGTTCTCAGAATGGTGAAGTGCTGCATGATTCTGAAAGAAATTTTGGCAAGGACCCTGAACCCTATTTTATTTCATGAATTACTAAGAATCAAGATTTTAATGGCTAATCACCCAGACCAAATACAATCTGCAATTTATGTTAAACCTTAGTACAACAGTACCTGACAGGTGGATTTATCCCAAAGTAGCTCTTATAGACCAGGTTGATCTCTGCAAAGTCTTTCATATCCTGCACATACAGATGGACTGCTATCAACTGCTGCAGACCCAATGACTTCTGCTCAAGTACACCTGGAAATGCATTGTACAAAGACATCTAAAAATACATGTACATTGTAAAAGTACATATGTACGTACATGCACACTACAGTGTAAAAGTTCATCTGGAAATATATCTACAGTGTACAAGTACATAATATGTAAATACTTGTACAGTGTACAAGTACATCTGGAAATACATGTACAATAGTACAATAACGTCATTTCTAGGGCAATATAGTGAAATATTGGACTGAGGGCCGGCCGAAGGCCCAAGGTCCAATATTTCACTATATTGCTCGCAGAGATGACGTTATTAGTATTATTACCACCGTTAACGACCAGGGCTTAAATACCAAGTAAATTTTACGCACTGAACGATATCTCATTTCCCGGGGAAAAATTGCCGGTCCAGAATATATTCTAGACCGGTCCATATGGACCACCACTTTGACGTCACACATTTCTCAGGTCGATATAGTAAAATGAATGCCTTCTAAACTAGCACTAAAACCCCTAGAACTGGCCCGGCAAGGTGGTAATAATGTTGAATAAACTCACTGATGGAATAACTTATGGTACTGATATTTTATTTATGAAATATTTGAAACAAGATGAGTACACTCACAAACAAGATGAGTACCCTTGCAAACAAGATGAGTACAATCATAGACAAGATGAGTACCCTTGCAAACAAGATGAGTACAATCATAGACAAGATAAGCATGCTTGAAAACAAGATGTGTCCACTAGCAAACAAGGTAAATTCACTCACAAACAAGATGAGTGTACTAACAAACAAGATGAGTACAATCACAAACAAAATGAGTACACTTGCACACAAGATGTGCAATCTCAGCAAGGTTTTATTAAACAAAAACAGAGATGGGTGATAATGCAACTTTATTAAAAATATACTTATTAATACCATTTTTGCAGAACAACAATTTTGACTCAACCTCAAACAGATTTGTTTATATCTATATTATTAGGTAAGACATAATTCTCTTACTTTTCAGTTTCTCTATTATGGTTTGCATGATATCACCAGGGGAGCTTCCTTCTTTCTTCAATCCATATAGACAAGACACATAGAAGTTACCAGATTCATACACTTTTATATAGCCAGCATCTACAAGTATACCATCCATCTACGTGTACATGTAGTTCATCCCTATACATCCCAACACAAGCATTTTCTAAGTGTAATATGCATTTTACATTTCCAAATTTTTAAAAAATTGCAAAAAAATTATTACTTAAAATATGAATTTTTTTCATGAAACAATTGGTCTTGAAAGGGGTGCAAAAATTATTCATTTTGCAACCTGTATAATATAACTTGTAGTATTGTTAAGCAATATGACTGTTAAGCATTCTTTACATAAATGTTTACACCACCAGGACTCTTACCATCCTCCACTGACTGCCTGTTGAGCTCACATTGTTCACAAGTTGGTATAACATCAACACTGAATGTATACAGGTCCCTCAGTAAGTCACTACTTTTCTTCATAGGGAGATCTTTTAGTCTTTGTAAGGGAGTACTGCCTCTGATCTAGAAAAAGAAGTATATAAAAAGTGCTGGTGAATCACGAAAAACTGCATGACTACCTTGTGAAGGGCCTAGTTATCATTCAAATTACTAACAGTTACTACTGAAGATAATCTAGCTGGAATCTTAAAAGAATCTTAAAAGAAACACTATATCATAACCCTAGATGTAGATTTAATTTTTCATTTACATATTCAAACAGTATTGACAGAGCTTGAAGTTGAATAATGTTTTCTTTTTGTCATTTCTATTATTAATTGAGTCGATTTATTACAAGAACTTACAATTGGTTTATCTTCTAAATGTGCTTGTTTTATGTTGATATAGCCAACTGGGGCAAATGCATCTGCTGAGTGGATCACAACCTCTTTGTCATCACTGCAAGTACAACTATGGATTTTAATTCACTCTAGAGACAAAGACATAGACATGTACATGAGCTTACTTAACAATTCTCTTGTCGAACATTTGACTGTACATGTACATGAATGAGAATATAGACTTATAATACAATTCTCTTGCTAAACAGTCAAGTGTAAATGAGTGTACGGACTCAAGTGACAATTTTTGTGTTAAACAATTGAGTGTAAATGAGTGCATCTACCAGTACTTGCATAGCAATTCTCTTGTTAAAAAGGGGTCATTCGAGTGTAAATGAGTGCATTTACTTACACAACAAATCTCTTGTTAAACAATTGAGTGTAATTGAGTGTATTTACCAGTACAGTACTTGCATAGGAATTCTGTTGTTAACCAAAAAGGGGTCATTCGAGTGTAAATGAGTGCATTTACTTACACAACAAATCTCTTGTTAAACAGTTGAGTGTAAATGAGTGTATTTACCAGTTTTTGCATAGGAATTCTGTTGTTAAAAAGGGGTCATTCGAGTGTAAATGAGTTCATTTACTTAAACAACAAATCTCTTGTTAAACAGTTGAGTGTAAATGAGTGTTTATACTTACACAATGATTGTCTTGTTAAAAAATGGACTATAAGAGAGTGCTTATACTAACATCATGATTATCTTGTTATATAGTTGACTAGAAATGATATTGTATATTTGATGATGTATTTACTTACATAGCAACTCTCTTGTTAAACAGTTGAGTGTAAATGAGTGCATATACTTACATAACAACTCTCTTGTTAAACAGTTGAGTGTAAATGAGTGCATATACTTACATAGCAATTCTCTTGTTAAATAGGGGACAGTCGAGTGTAAATGTTTCATATTCTCCACCTTCTCCGCATATGTTCAGGCCATATTTCTCTTTCTGAAATAAAGTTTAAGTACATAGTCAAATACTAGTAATTCAATAAAAAGATGCTGTTACCACAGATCGCATGGATAATCTGAGAGTGTTTTGTGCCCTGCTCTTATGAGCTACACTTTATGTCAATAGCTCTATTGGCATTTCTTGGGATCTTTTGTGGGCTGGTTGAAATCCTAGTTGAGAAAGTTTTTAATCCCATCATACTTTTCGATTAATGTCGTGATATTTTGTTTTTATTATATTTTTATAAAAAAGTAATTTTACAAAAATATGTTGTCTTTATATTTGTAAATCGCTTCATTCTAATGCTGCAAATGAACAATTAATAAGTGTCATTAAAAGATATATAGACTATATATTTCAATGAATCTTACCATGAGTAGCATGTGTGGGTAAATCTGACGTATTGAGATCCCAAGGTGTTCATCTGGTGTTAGTCCTGAAATATAAACAATTACATTCTTATTTTGTCACCACCAGAAGAGGTGACATATTGTTATAGTCTCCTACTTTTTGTGGAGAAAATATGCAACATGTTACATGCATTTAAGAATCATAATATCTGGAAGCAAAAATTGCTCTTTAATCTCTGTGTCTATACAAGGGTTGTCCAAAAAGGTCTTGAAACATTTCCTCTCACTTCATCAAATCATAATTTATCTATTCTTGCTGAAACTTTTCAAAGTGAACAACAAACATTTAAACATCATCTATGTGAAATGTGATGCCAAAAGAATAATAGAAATTGAGAATATGAGAGCAAAACTTTCAAGACTTTTTGGACAACCTTCGTAGTAATGATAAAGAAGTAAGTTGATATATTGTTTTTGTACCTAATGTTGCAACTTTGAGGATTATGGCATCTATGTCACAGCAGATCATCTCATTAAGGAGCTCTTTCTGGTCACGTTGCCATAGATACGCCAGAGATGTGAGTCCTAGACGTATACAGCTGCAAATAGAAGATGTAAAGGTCTTGTCAATTCAGTGAATTCACAGTATAAAACAACATCGGGAGACACACTATTATAATTGCAGAGCTGATAAAAATTGCTTATGGACAATAATATATTGGTAAGGCAGCATATTATTGTATTTTTTTACAGATATTGTTGATTTTTTCTGTCTGGCTAATGCCTGGGTCACATTTGCTCAGATTCATCAACCAGCGCCCGGCTGAGTGAGTATTTTGTTCAAAACTAAATACAATTTTGAACAAAATACTCTATCGGCCAGGCACCAGGCAATGAATCGGAGCAAATGTGACCCAGGCATCACACACACAAAATAACAAGACATTAACATTAGTCTACATACAAAATGTCACCACGAATGCAGAAGACGAACCACTTATGCCAACCACCAAACAATGCAATCATTGCTTGTTGGTATACATTCTTGTTTTCAAACGCAATCTGATTCTAATTTTACTTACACATTTTCTACTCTTATCCTCTGGTAGTCTGACAGAACAGCCCCGACTGATACGCCCTCTATCTGGTGTTCTTCCTAAAGAAACACAAAAGTCTACAAATATGACATCTTACATGGAAAACAGCACTAAGGATTTTATCTCTAATTTGTTTTTCGGATGAACTGGTAGAAGCAAGAACTTCAGTAGAAATGTAAAATGTTAGCAGAGATATGTATATGATGATCCATACAATGACCATAATTTGGAACAGACTTAATGTGAAGTCACATTCAGTAGTAAAATGTGTGAGCTCGATTTGCATGCTATATAGGTCCCCCATCACTGCATTAAAGTGTGTAGCTAAGATTTTAAGGTTTATTAATATGTGAATCAATCTAAGAAAATTGGGACCAGAAAATTGTTCAAATTGAGAGGTGTTCTGATAAGAGAGGTATTCAGATAAATAGGTTTTACTGTAGCTAGAGTTAGCCTTTGATCTTTTCAAATATTGTGCTCTCCTCTCTCCTATCTTAAAATCAAATGTTCACCTTCTGAAAATCAAATGTTTACCATCTGAAAATCAAATGTTTACCATCTGAAAATCAAATGTTTACCATCTGAAAATCAAATGTTTACCTTCTGAAAATCAATGTTTACCATCTGAAAATCAAATGTTTACCTTAACTTCTTTGAGTAGTTGGTACATGTCTTCTACCTCATCATTCTCTGTTGCCTCGTAGTCCATGTGTTGTTGTATATTGCTCCCCTCTATCACCCTCCTGTACAGGGGAAGCCCCATGGCCTCTGCATATATGTCTATAGCATGGTGGCCTACTGTCTGGAACATGAAACTGTCCATCTCATCTGAAACAATATAGCAATATATATCACTCTCCTGTACAGGGGAAGCCCCATGGCCTCTGCATATAGGTCTATTACATGGTGGCCTACTGTCTGGAACATGAAACTGTCCAACTCATCTGAAACAATATAGCAATATATATCACTCTCCTGTACAGGGGAAGCCCCATGGCCTCTGCATATAGGTCTATTACATGGTGGCCTACTGTCTGGAACATGAAACTGTCCAACTCATCTGAAACAATATAGCAATATATATCACCCTCCTGTACAGCGGAAGCCCCATGGCCTCTGCATATAGGTCTATAGCATGGTGGCCTACTGTCTAGAACATGAAACTGTCCAACTCATCTGAAACAATATAGCAATATATATCACCCTCCTGTACAGCGGAAGCCCCATGGCCTCTGCATATAGGTCTATAGCATGGTGGCCTACTGTCTGGAACATGAAACTGTCCAACTCATCTGAAACATATAGCAATATATACATCACCCTGGATCTTTAAATCTGGCCAAAAAAGTTAATAAATTGGTTAATGAAATCCTGTGCTTCACGCTTTAGAAGATGTTCAAGGAGATGATGCAAAGATAGGAGAAAATGAAAAATGGAGATGATGATGATCGATGATCATCAATTAGATTTCCCAAGAATGATACAATATCATCAGCTGACCGAATAACCTATAGAAAACAGAGAATAACTAACAGATGAGCCTTGAACAAGAGTTAATACATTGCATCTCCCTGACTAGGTTTTCTTCATGCTACATTTCCTTATTGATCCTATATAAGCTACAAATGTCAGTGAAGATCAGCGTATGATCTAAGACAAGTTGCTGATTTACACTGCTAATTCTATGAATTTTCATTGGGCCTCAGTTTGGCAAGGGCTACAATATCATGTTTGAACTCACCTGTGTCTTTGGGCTTAAGATTGGCATTGGCAAGGGCTACTATATCATGTTTGAACTCACCTGTGTCTTTGGACTACTCTATCATGTTTGAACTCACCTGTGTCTTTGGGCTTAAGATTGGCATTGGCAAGGGCTACTATATCATGTTTGACCTCACCTGTGTCTTTGGACTACTCTATCATGTTTGAACTCACCTGTGTCTTTGGGCTTAAGGTTGGCCAGGGCTACTATATCATCTCTGCACTCACTTGAGTCTGGGCTTAAGATTGGCAAGGGTTACTATATTATGTCTGCACTCACCTGTGTCTTTCGGCTTGAGGTTGGCCAGGGCTACTATATCATGTCTGCACTCACTTGAGTCTGGGCTTAAGATTGGCAAGGGCTTCTATATCATGTTTGAACTCACTTGTGTCTTTGGGCTTAAGTTTGGCAAGGGCTTCTATATCATGTCTGCACTCACTTGTGTCTTTGAGCTTAAGTTTGGCAAGGGCTACTATATCATGGTTGCAATCACCTGTGTCTTTGGGCTTAAGTTTGGCAAGGGCTACTATATCATGTCAGCACTCACTTGTGTCTTTGGGCTTAAGTTTGGCAAGGGCTACTATATCATGGTTGCAATCACCTGTGTCTTTGGGCTTAAGATTGGCAAGGGCTACTATATCATGGTTGCAATCACCTGTGTCTTTGGGCTTAAGTTTGGCAAGGGCTACTATATCATGTCTGCACTCACTTGAGTCTGGGCTTAAGATTGGCAAGGGCTACTATATTATGTCTGCACTTACCTGTGTCTTTGGGCTTGAGGTTGGCCAGGGCTACTATATCATGGCCTTCAGCAACACACTGCATCATGTTGTAACAGCTGTCTTTGCCCCCACTGGAATGATATATGAATAAAAAAATATTACACTTTTATTCATATAGGGCATATGTATATATAAAATAAATCAACATAAACAAGACTGGGCCAACAGCATTTGAGTTAATGCCTGGATGGGCTTCTCTACATCTCTCAATGAAATGTGAAGAAAGCCATAGATGAATGAGGTGTCAAAGACCTCCATAAGTTGCTACTTAGATACAGTGGTTAAAAACCTTCCCAAAGCAGATGCTAACCTATATAACCAATAGATCTCGAGATGAGTACAGGAGTTTACTGACAACTTCTACTGATAATCCTAATGATTTCCTGATTCGCTTATCTAAATAGACTTTTCCAGGGGGCTTAAAATGTGATTTTTTACACTTTAACAGAAAAGAGAGATACTGTATTTCTATTACTCTGCTCAGGATTCAATGTATATTTGGTGGTGCAACATTTTAAGATTATATCATTTTAGCAAGTACAATATAGTATGTTTTAGTGCAATTTGGAATGAACTTTTTGGTTGGAACATGTTAAAGGATCTCTTAAATCTTATTGGAGGAGAAATTAATATAGCAAAGTACCTTTAATTCATGATCAATAAGAAACAGTCTATCTAAATATTATGTTTGATTGCAAATATAAACTGAACTGTTTTTATTGTTATTAACACATTGGTTTATCGAGTGACATGCAAGTAATACCCTTGAAGAAATATTTTACACATTTTCAGGAAAGAGGACAAATCTCAAGTTGTCTATGTAATTGTTACTACACGTATGGAGCAGCCATTCTAAGCAAGCCTTGGCTCTGTAACAATAACTGAATTGACTTAACAATTGATTTTCTGCAAAATACAATCTATGTGGCCAGTAAATCTTAGCAATAAAACTGCAAATTACAGTAAAACATGTCTTAGTGAACACCTATCTCTCTAGTGAACACCTGGGTCGAGTGAACACCTGTCTCTAGTGAACACCTGGGTCGAGTGAACACCTGTCTCTAGTAAACACCTTTCTCAAGTGAACATCTGTCCCTAGTGAATACCTGAGTCTAGTGAACACCTGTCTCTAGTGAACACCTGGGTCTAGTGAACACCTTTCTCTAGTGAACACCTGGGTCTAGTGAACACCTATCTCTAGTGAATACCTGGGTCTAGTAAACACCTTTCTCAAGTGAACATCTGTCTCTAGTGAATACCTGAGTCTAGTGAACACCTGTCTCTAGTGAACACCTGGGTCTAGTGAACACCTTTCTCTTGTGAACACCTGTTTCTCGTGAACACCTGTCTCTAGTGAACACCTGGGTCTAGTGAACACCTAACTCAAGTGAACACATACTCTACATAGTAAATCTGTATCAAATTGCCTCTCAAAGTCTCTGTAATGAACACCTACCTACAATGAACACATTTTTGTTTATAGGTGTTCACTGTACACAGGTTTTACTGTACCTCAAAAATACCTCTGCATAAGTCATTAATTCTCAGCAATGATAGAGCAGACTTTGTTAAATAACATGAGCCAATGTTTATGAAGCTTGAGCTTATACAGCCTCAGGTCGTACAGAAAATAAAAAATAAATTAAACTTGAAGGAAAAAGTTTTAATGAGGATTTAAAGAGTTTTATTTTGTCTAAAAATCTAAACAATTTGAGACCTTCCAAACACTCTTATGCATGATAGAAAATTTGACATGAAAAAGTTGATATTAACCAAGGCAAATAAATTCAAAAAAAACAACCATTGACACAGACCCCCCCCTTCCCTCAGTCATGCTATCACACCCACCCAGTTGGTAGCTGTATATACCAAGGCCAACGGATGTAAATATAAATTTAGCTGAAAAAATAGCTTATGTGTAAGCCATAGGATAATAACAAAACTGGAATTGTGTTTTATTTAAAAATGTTTCAATTTTCTTTTTCTATTGAAACTGTTTCAATTGAAAAAATCTAAATTGATATTATTCTTTTTTGCGCCTCGTGCCTAGCTCCACATAAAAAATTATCAATTTATCAATATTTGTGGGCAGAATACACGTTATACCATATACAGATACCATTACAGGAATATCTTGATATTATTAGGTTTGGGTGGATTCCCATCAATGTGTACATGTAACTGATAGATGTAGCATCTGTTTGCATTCAACCTGCATACAAACCTTTCATCAGCACCAACCCATGTATTTCAATGGCATTAATATGATGCTATTGAGTATGAAAGGTAAGCGGTAAGACTTAGCAGCAGGCTTTGATATTGGTTACAGTAACAAAATCTACCTGGTCTGATCTCATTAGTCTACATGTATTTCACATCAAAAAACTATCAAAACTAGAAAAACTCAATTGTGTAGCAAATCTTGAAAATATTTTTCTCATACGATTCTTCATTTCGAATCATTCATACAAGAAATATCCAAACAGTATGAGTGATTCTTTTTGGAAAAAATAAGACCCACGGTCCTGTGCTCACACAGTTTGGAACCTTCAGAGGAATGTATATCCTGACTTTCAAACAAAAATATTGATTTGGATTTGTAGTCTCGAACTTTGAGAAACTTAGACAGCACAGTTTGTGACCTAGTTTGATGACCTTTGACCTTGAAAATTTAACTTATTTAGAGCTCAGTAAGGTCTTTTGTGATTAAGCTGACCAAACTTTACATCCAAAAATCAATTTGAAAAATCAACTTTTTGACCTTTCAAAGGTCACTGAAGGTCAAGTAAAGGTCAAATCCTAAAACTAATGTCAGATTTGAACTCCTGGTAACTTGTAGATGATTTTCAAAAAAAAAATTGGTCAAATTGAAGCAAGTTGAAAAATAACTTATTTTTACTGTTTTTTTACGTCAAATATCTCAAAAACGGTAAAAAATTGATGCTGACATATATTGAGCAATATGTAGGGAATGGTTAAATCTAGTTATGATGTAATTCATTGCAAGAAATGATCAAGTATAAGGCAAACTTTGAGAAACTTATCAATCACAAAACCTGCCATTGACTTTATACATAAGAAAGTTTCCTGAAAATGACAGTCCTACTTTTTGTCAAATTTTATGGAGTAAGCACCAAAAACTGTAATTCCAAGAGCTTTGAAATCTTCAGAGGACATAAGTTGCATATACAGCAACTACTACAAGTTATTTGAAAGTTCTACTTCAACAAAGTGTCTAGTATATAAGAAAATTTGACTTTTTGACGTTGAAATCAGCAATTTCTCGGAAACCGGGCGAACTTGGGAAATGGCGATGATAGGTCAAATAGCCATTATGGATATGCATAAAATGATTGTGGATATGACTCAATCCGAATAGCAGTTTTAATTTGTGCGGCCAATGTTGACGGACGGACGGACGGACCAACGGACGGACGGACCAACGGACGGACGGACGCCTGGTCGATCCCATAGGCTCACTGTGTGAGCCAAAAACAACATACACAGCATTTAACCTGTGTATATTGAACAAAAAAAGTTCAGTGGTGATAGGTGTTCACTACAGAGAGGGTAATTTATACAAAAGTCAGTAAAGTATGTGTGGAGGAAGGTTGTCGACGAGATACAGGTATCCAATAAAGAGAGGTGTTACTTAGACAGGTTAAGGCTGTACGTATTTAATTATTTGTCAAATATAAACCAAGTGAAAATCAAATACGTGTATAAAAGATGCAGTGGTCATTTTGATACACATTTTCCATATTGTTTCCCTATGGTCCTCTACCCTATAGACATCGGCCCATGGTCCTTGGCCTATAGGTCTTTGAACCAAATCTGATTTCAAGTGTTTGTGCTATTGTCACAAAAGACAGACTTAGACAAACATTTACACTGACATAGAATGAGGTTGTTCTTTCCATTTTCTCCCGTCTACTATGTATCTAGGGCTATTGTCAGGTTACATCAATAGAAGGCTCTACTTTATATCCAGAGCTATTGTCAGGTTTTGTCAATAGAGGGCTCTACTCTGTTGCCAGGTATCATCAATAGAGGGCTTTACTTTGCCAATAGAGGGCACTTCTTCATATCCAAGGCTATTTGGCAGGTTTTATCTGCAGAGGGCACTACTCTAAATCCACTGGTGATTTGCCAGGTTTCGTCAAAAGCAGGGTCTACTCCATATCCAGGGCTATTGCCAGATATGTTAATAGAGGGCCTCTGTAGAGCCCTCTGTTGCCAGGTTTCATCAATAGAGGCCTTTACTTTGCCAATATAGGGCACTTCTTCATATCCAGCGCTATTGCCAGGTTTCATCAAAAGAGGGCTCTACTTTTTAAAGATGGGCTCTAATTTCTCAGCAGAGCAAAATCAGTCAATTATTAATTTTACTCCAAAGTTCTAAAAAAGCAAATTTCCACGAGTTAAATTTATATTTAAGTTATCGTTTTACTGAAATAATATTTATACATGACATGTATATCAACAACAAAAAGAGAATTTTATTGGCACAACATACACCTCAGTCTAGACTAATACTACAGGGTCATGGTATACTCAAAAATGTCATTGAGAACTCAAGAACTGAAATATACACAGAATATATGGGAAAAACTTCTATCTAGAGTCAAAGAAAACACTGTACAGGCAAAGCTATGAAATAACAATAACCAGCAAAGCATATGTGATTTTATGTTTACAACAACAAAAAAACATGGCATCATTAATCACTTTCAATCAATTTCATTTATATTCGACCCTGTGTACAGTTTATCACTGTTGACCTTTCTAGGGGTTGACAGTCAACCAACTTGTTTTGTAGACAGAAGAAAATATTAAGTAAGGCTAATTTATCCAAATGTTGAGAAGTTTACCCTCTTCTAATAGCCACAATTTTTTGTTTCAGACAATATTCTAAAATAAGACACACAGTGAAAAATATCGCATTTTGAATAGCAAAATGGCTACCATGTAACTTACTCAGGTTGCCCAACCAAATCAGATTTAAATCGAATCAGCACTTGCATCTGTAAAATTTCAATTGAACAGGTAAGTAGTTTTACTGAATTTTTTT